CCTCCAGTGCTGCCCCTGGTGGGTGGGAAACACTTCCTTGGGGCTGGAGGTGGCCTTCGAGCCCAGGCCTTGCTGGCTCTGCTCGTCTATGCTGGAGTGCGTGGTTGTGTGTATGATTAATTACGTGGAATGAAAATAATCAGTCATCTCTACCTTACTCCATCTTTTTGTCTTCTTTCTTTTTATGCCAAAACAGACCCTCTCAGGAGAGGGTTTCAGGGCATACCAGAGGGCTCCAGCCCCCAGGTACACAAGTTAGAAATAACACACAACACAAAATGGATATTTGTATAGGCCAAATTCAAAATGGATCACGTGTGGCTTCTTGTGGCCCAAGCCAGAACTCCCAGCTCGAAGGCTTTACTGATGCCTTTTATCTTTGCATCAGAGTATGGAATTTCAGCCCCCTCCCCCTGTGACAGAGAAAAGAAGCCAGAACACCCTGGATGTGAGCACATTACTCACTGCTCCGTTCTGATGTTTCCTTGGCACCCCCTTTCCCCGATTTCTCATTTCTCAGAGTTTGCCTCTCTTTTAGCACCCACAGGCCGAGAGGACTGCCCCCAGTGGCCCCTCACGCAAGTTTGTCTCCTTCCTGTTCACTTGCCTTGGCACGCATACCCCTCCCTGCCTTCGGCTGGACCCTCTGAGGGATGCCCTCCTGGGCAGCTCTGGTCCTTGGCGATGCAGGAGGGCCATCCTCCACCCTTGGCAGGAACGTTACAGAAATTGTCAGGTTCTTCCAATGGGTTGATTGATTTTGGCCGATTTCACCGTCTTGTTCCTCTTCAGCGGCTCTGGGAGGGGAGGGATAAGGGGGAAATGTGGGCAATGTAAGGACCGCAGGCATGACCACTGCCCCTTCCTCTCAGCAAGCTCTGTTTTCCCCACTTCAGGAGCTGCACTACATTTTCCCATGGCTTGTAGAAAATATTTTTGGCAGCTTGGATGGCATCCTGGTCGGCTGGAATCTGCGGTGTTTGCAAGGAAGAGTGAACCCCATAGAATACAGCATCGCCATGGAGTTTCTGGACCCCAGGCAGGTGGATTTTTTGCAGGCCCAGCTGTGAGTGGGTCTCCTGTTTGGTGACGCTCTGGGTCTGGGGTCCGCTCACACTGTTTCCTTTGATTCCTTGTACAGTGGGCCGATGATGAAGCTGGTATACAAACTCCAGGCCGAGGATTATAAGTATGATTTTCCTGTGGCCTACCTTCCTGTAAGTAACTGGGCAGCTGAGGAGGGCGGGCCCAAGCTTGTGGAGGGGGGGTTGGGCTGACCCCCACCTGACTGTCAGAAGGCTGTGGGAATGGCCCCACCCTGGCCAACCTTCCACACGAGCACAGTAGAGTTACATGGTGACACCCCAGGTGGGCACAGGTCACTTACCTCTGCGTGCTACAGAGAGGACAGGAGAGAAGTGCTTGTGTCTGTGGGGGAGGTAGGAATGAATGATCTGAGGTCAGACGCTGCCCAAACTGTTCTTGTGTCTGTCTCATCTCTCCCCTGCTGAAAGATCTTCTGTGGCTCCTCACTGCCCAGAGGGCGACATTCATGCTCCTTTCTCTGGCGTTCCGGGCCCTGCCAGCCTGCCTTTCCAGCCTCACCCCTCGTTGTGCCTTTTCTTGCCGGCATCGTGGTCCATCAGACTGGGCTTCTCTCAGTTCTGTTCCCTGAGCCCATCCTGCCCTTGTCCACCCCTGGTCTTGGTGTTTCTTTCTTTTCTTTCTTTTCTTTTCTTTTCTTTTTTTTTTTTTGCTTAGGCAGTTGGGGTTAAGTGACTTGCCCAGGGTCACACAGCTAGTAAGTGTCAAGTGTTTGGTCTGAGGCTGGATTTGAACTCAGGTCCTCCTGATTTCAGGGCCGGTGCTCTATCCACTGTGCCACCTAGCTGCCCCTGGCACTTCTTTCTTACAGCTGGAAAAAGTCCTTCATGCCCACAGTGCCCCTCACCTCTGCCTGTAAGAACGCTTCTTGGTCTCAGCGCCTGAAGGGGAGTGCCCCATCTTGGCGCCTCCCACGGCACTGTGTCTGGCCCTCGGCTGGGCACTTTTCATCTGTGTTGTGTTTACTTGGGTCTGTGGATTGCCCTCTGAGACTGCCAGTGCCGTAAGGGCAGAAGACCCTGTCCCCCCATCCTTTGGCGCCTCTGCTCATGCCTCCCTCTCTTTCAGGAGCCCGTGCGGGCGTGCATCGAGGAGCGCGTCCTCCCAGAATGCCCACTCTATCACAACAAGGTCCAGCTCCCGGCCGCTGGTGCTCAGGGCCTGCACTTGGCTCTCAGTATCCTTTCTGTGGTTGTGATGGGAGGCGGGTGGCTCGGGCGACTCATGTGCCCTGCTCGCTTGTGTCGTAAGTGTGCGCAGCTTGTCCTTGACTTCTGCCTCATACCCGTTTGAATACTACATGTTCTTCTTTGCCTTGAGCCTCATCACACAAAGGGTACGTACGACTCTACCCATGCTCTTCTTGATGTGGGAGACAGGGCTGTGACCACTGGTGGGGGCTTTGGGCCTGGGCGCCAGGTCTCCAATGGGATACCCGTCCACAGGAGAAGGGGGCAGATGTTGGGGAGGGACTGGAAACCATGACGTTGGAGGATCTGTGAATGAAGGCTTCCGAGCCTGAAGAGAAAGCTTGTGGGGATGTGATTGGTGTGTCTGGGCATCAGAAGATGTGGCACATAGGGTTAGCCCCAGAGGGTGAGAGGTAGGGGGTCAGCTTCAGCTCTTGTCATCCTGCTGGGGTGATGTGGGTAGATGTGTATCCCTTGGGGCTGGTTGGGAGTCAGCTATGAGGAGCTGGTCAGGTGGGTACCAAGGTTTGGCTGTGTGTTGTGCTAGGAAGTGGTCCGCGTAAGAGGCTCTTGGTTTTACAGATGGCTGCTTGGCTGTATTGGAACATGCTGTCAGTGAAGCGGGGAGGGCTGGGGTTTGGGAGTGGAAGTTATGTGCGAGTATACAGAGCTGTGGGTACATGGGGGTACAGACAGACTAGGAGGAGGATTGGAGGATGGGAGCGATTGGGGGGTCGGAAAGAGGTGTGGTATAGAGAGTGGGGCTTGGGTATGGTCCGTGAGGGAAAAGGCTGCACGTGGTGGAAGGGGTGCCAGTGTGGAGGGGGGAGGCTAGGCATAGAGGTTCAAGTTTATGAAGATGGGATGTGAGTCTTGGGCATGGTGCATGTTGGAGGAGCAGTGAAGAAAGTAGATGGTGGGGGTAGGTTTGGGTGGGCAGGGGCACTGTGGGTGGTTGTGGGGGTATGCCCAGAGTTTGGGGCAGATACTGGGACACACAAGGGCATGGGGGCAGGAGTGATTGTGGGTGTGGAAGGTGATGTTTGAGCTGAGGCTTAGAGGAAGTGAGGGATGTTTATAGGCAAGGGCATTCTGAGGTAGGGGCTGGCCATCGCAAAGACTGGGAGGTGGGAGATGAGGGTCTTCTGTAAGGAACAGCAAGGTTGGCATGGCCAGACCAGAGTGTGGAATAGGACTTGTGTACACTAAGGCTTTGGGAACACCCTCTGCAGTGAGGGTGGAGAAGCAGGTTGGGGCTGGTTTGTGAAGGACTCAAATGCCAGCCAGAGGAGTTTGCTCCTAGAGGCAGTAGAGATCTGAGCTTTAGGTCAGTCACTTGGGCAGCCAGGCAGGGGGTGGCCTGGATGGGCAGACGGGAGGTGACGAGGGCGGAGTTATGTACGTGGGCGTGGCAGCAGTGGGCCTGGGGAGGTAGGAGTAAGTCCAGGACTCTGGGTGTGGACCAAGAGGGGAGAACCGCTAGACGAGGAGGGCAGGAGGTGCCTGGGCTTCACGATGTTCATGAGGGGTTCTGGGTGGGGAAGGCTCATGTCAGTGTACATTGGGGGCAAGCCTCTGGACCACTCCACACCTTCTTCAGGAACCTATAAAAGAGCATGGAGGGAGTTTGGAGGCTTGAGGGGCAGTGACACTTGATTTGAAAGATGAAACCCACCACCACCACTCCCCTGCCTCCACCCAAAAAAAAAAAAGAAAAGAAAAAAGCCTTGCTCCGGTCTCCGAGGGGAATGGCAGCCTGGGGTGGCTCGGTTGTCTTTCACCCTGGGCTGCACGGGCCCCATCTGCCCTGGACTGTGAGTTGGGAAGGCCTTGCACAGAGGGAGAAGGGTACAAAGGACAGTCACCAAACCCTACTGCTGGAGCGTTGTGTCTGCTTCTCTGCACATCCCGGTGGGGCCGGGGGCGGGAAGTGATGCATTGGTAGGTAGGGGGCCGGGTGACACGTCTGAAGGCGTGTGGTGGTATGAACTAGAAGTGAATGGACTTTGGGGTGCAGGTTGGGCTATGATAACTGTCTCCAAGTAGCTAGGAGGCTGTCTTGTCCAGGAGAAGTCAGGCGTGGTCGGGTTGGCTCCGAAGACAGTGATGGGGAGGAGGGAGACTGGTGGAGACACAGTGGCCCAGGGTGGGTGGGTGCAGGTCAGAGCCACGTGGCGTGGTTCCCAGGAAAAGCCCATCCCGTCCCCCAGTTCTCTTAGGTTCATTGGGATGGCTGTGCTGTGAGCGTCCCCCAGACCCTGGCCCTCCCGCTGTGACAGGAGGCGTGATGAGGGCCCCTTTTGTCTTCCAGAACTTCCCTCTGTCAGTTCACGTGCGAACTTCCGACTGTGCCTACTTCCTCCTTGTGGACCGGTACCTGACGTGGTTCTTGCCCACGGAAGGAAACGTCGTCCCTCCGCCTTCGACCACGCTGGGCGGTACCATCCCTTCTCCCACGCCCAGGTGAGGCTCCCAGTGCCGGCCCCTTGGGGCTGAATGTCTGTGCTCCTGTCACTGGTCCCACCGTGCAAGGCAGCCTGCACTGAGGCCTCCCTGAGCCTTTCTTTTAGGACTCGTCATGGGCAGAGCACTGTGCACAGCGGGGCAGAAGCTTCCTCCCTCATGTGGGATCCCTCTAGGCTAGCATCTTCTCTGTCAGCTCCCCAGGCATGCAGCAGGGTCAAATAGCAGCTCTCTGTTCATCATCACAAGCCTGTCCTCCTCTGCAGCCGGCTCCTCACGCACACCCTCTGGTCGTCCAGATAGCCCCCCGCCTCCTGGCCGTGTGCCACGCTCTCTGTGCTCTCCCTGTGCGGCTCCCTCACCTCTGACAACACCCCAGGGAGGCCGTCGCTGCTGGTGCCCGCCCCATCCAAATCCCCCAAACACACACAACACATAGGTGGTCATGCATGCATGTGCACGGCACAGAAAACTTGGGCGTGCAAGATTGCATACGTACACGTGCACACGTATACGGTCATGCACGCACACACATTAACACAAGGCAGACACATGTGTAAATGTGTAAGGCGTGTTTACATGCGCACATGTGCGTGTGGTTGCCAGCACGTCGACACACAGAGGCATGCTTGCACACACACACACACACACACACCCTCACACAAACAAGACTGCGTACTTACATATGTATGCGTATACAGTCATGCATGCACACACAACACGGGTGCAGGCACACCCATACATATGCAATGCGTGTTCACATGCATACCTGCGTGTGCTTGCCAGCATGTAGACACACAGAGGCATGCTTGCACACACACACACATACACACACACACGCACAAACAAGACTGCGTACTTATATGTGTACGTGTATACAGTCGTGCATGCACACACAACACAAGGCAGGCACACCCGTACATATGCAATGCGTGTTCACATGCACACACGTGCATACCTGCGTGTGCTTGCCAGCATGTAGACACACAGAGGCATGCTTGCATGCACGCACACACACACACAAAACAAGACAGTGTTCGTCCACATGCATGTGTATACGGTCATGCACACACACATTAACACAAGGAGGCACACACGTACACACATGCGTGTGCTTGCCTGCACGTAGACACACAGAGGCATGCTTGCACACACGTACACATCAGCTCCCCTGATAGAGCGTCAGTTCCTCAAAGGAAGTGGCTGAGGGTTTCGTGATGGTTCTTTCCCCTGCATCGCCAGGGCCTCGGGAAGTGCTTCCTCCTGCTGCTGGCTTGCTAGGTAACGTCGGAGGTCAGCATCGGGGGGCCCGGGTTGGGTGCCTTCCCTTGCCCCGCTGCTCCCTTTGGGGTGGGGGAAGCAGGGGCCTCCCAGGGAGTTTAGCCCTAGCTCTGTTCTTTGGCAGTTGCCTTCATTCCCGTCCCCCGGGTGCCCGGGGGGTCTCAGCCGCTGGGCCAGCTGCCCCCTGCGGCTGTTGGCTGTGTGTGCTCACTTGCACTCTCTCTCTCTCTCCCCCCCCCCCCCCCCCCCCCCCCCCTCCGTACACACACACACGACACACGCATACACGCACATGTGTTTGCATCTTCTGTTACACTCTCATGTCTATTTACACTAACCATGCATCCTCCCCCAATTAAACATTCAGCAAGCATTATTAAGGGCCCGCTGGGGGCTGGGCGCTGGGCCATCCCTGCTTTGGGGGTCGGGGCAGAATCGGCAGCCTGCACACAGGGGTGGAGGGGTGAGGGCACTCCCAGCAGGGGCTCTCCCCCTATCCTGAGGAGGTGGGCCCTGAGCCCAGCCTGGAAGAGAGTAAAGAGCAGGCCCCAAGAGGTGGCGTGAGTAGGGAGCTGGTATGAACACACACTTTGAGATGACAGCTGGGTACGGAGTGTGTGGGAAAGGGAGGAGGCGGGTGACCTCGCCCGAAAGGGGGGCGCTTTCCAGGCCAGGCTGACCGGCCACAGAAGAGCAGAGGAGAGACAGCAGACTGATAGCTCGGAAGATGGAGTGGAGGCGCTATTGGGGTGGCCTGGGGGGGACGATGGGGACCTCACCTGGGCTGGGGGACACAGCCCCTCACTGGCTGTGGGCAGCGGGGGAAGCAGATGGCTGGCAGATTTGACTTGTTGGCCGAGTGGGGGCTCACATGTGTACACACACATCTATATTCCAGCTCCCACACACACATTTATTCTCAGCTGCCCTTTTGTGTGTGCACATGCCACCCAACATGCATTGTGCCCATTTACCCCCACTCCCCCTCACTCAGACCCCCTCACCCTCGTGTACACACACATATGCTAGTCATAACCCCCAAAACGCGTGTGTGCATGTGTCCCATAAGAAAGTGGAAGGATCTGTGATGCCCGTGGACTTGGTGAGAGCGGGCAGCCCCGGCGTGGGCGGTGTTTGGCGGTGCTGGCCGGCCGGCCGTGCACGCTGCTCCTCTGTGCTTGCCGATGTTGGTTTGTTTGTGGCTGCATGGTCAGGGCTTCCCTGGGGCCTTCTAGATGTCGGTGGGAAGCTGGGACTCAGGCCTGGGCGGCTCTCCCGCGGTCCCCCAGCCCCGTCTCTTCACTCTGTGAGTGATGGTGACTTTGCTGGGCTCATCTTAGCAGTGGCAGAGCCAGCTCTTGGGGATGAAGTCAGGCTGACGCTGGAATGCTCTCCTCGCGGGGAATGCCGTGGTTTGGAAGCCAGTCTTGGGTTGGGAAGGCCTCTTTATCTGTAACTCTGCTGGAGAGTTGGTTTCTTCCCCCAGGACCCCCGCTGTGCCTTTTACTTCCTATGGCCTGCACCACACGAGCTTGCTGAAGCGGCACATTTCTCATCAGCCCTCGGTGAATGCAGACCCTGCCTCGCAGGAGATCTGGAGATCAGAGACTCTGCTCCAGGTGAGATGTCTGGCCTGGGTGTCGAATGGCCAGTGCGGCCGGTGTGGGCGGGACTGGGAGGGCCGGTGACGGCAGGGAAGCCGACTGCCCGAGGTTGCGCCTTTCAGAGTATCCCGTGAGGAGAGAGCTCCTCGGTTCTGTGGGTTTGCTTTTTCATTTGGGAGATGCACGTTCAGCTGCTGTCATGTTCACGGTCCTGTGAGGGACTCTGAGGGCGGGAGAGAGGAACGAGCCGTGCTCACGTCCTCATGTAGCTGACGTCCTTGTAGGGGAAACGAGACGTGTCCAGAGACCTGCTAGAACCTAGAAATCTGCGCGATGGGGAGGGAGGGGGCTTAGGGGATTGTGGAAATCTTCATGGAGGTGCTGGGCCTTGAAGGACGAAGTGAGGCTTTCAGCGGGCAAGGGGGGCTGTCCTGGAGCAGGGACATCTTGGAGCCAGAAGGGACCTCCTGCCCAAAGCGGAGGGTCCCAACAGCTGGCGGCCATCTAGTGCCGCTGTCTGCCTCCCGTGATGGCGCTCCCCTCTGGAACAGCCCCCGTTGTCGGACAGAAATCTGCTTCTGCAGCATCCTGGGGTGAGGCAGAACCAGGCTTCCCAGCTGCTCCCGGCCTCGGATGGCACGTGGTGTCTGGCTGTGGCAGCGCCCGTCCCCGGGGCCTCCTGGAGCCCATGGGGTCTTCTCACTCCGTGGGGCTTGTGCCTTCACGGTCCTGCTGCTTGTACTGCTGCATTTCCTTTGAATGTCTGAAGAACCAGCAGGGAGGACAAGTGTTACCTTGGCTCGAGGGTCAGTGCTGGGAAGTGACAGAGGGGCAGACTTGGGCCAAACAGGAGCCGGGTCACCAGCAGTCCCAGCTGAAAGCTGCCCGGACCCAGAGGAACAGACTGCTCGTGAAGATAGTGAGTTCCCCGTCCCTGCAGGTGTTGAAGCAGACTATCACAGTCAGGAGTATAGCTGAGGAGGTCTCAGGGGCTCTGGCAGGGAAGGACCAGGTGTCCAGTCCCTCTCCGACTCTGACCTTCGGGGATTCTCTCAGCAGAGACCCTGCGAGGCGCCCGTGGTGGGGCTGGCTTGTGTGTGCTCGGCTGGGCTTGCTGAGGACTGACAGATGCCTCTGCTCCTGTCTAGGTCTTTGTCGAGATGTGGCTTCACCATTATTCCCTGGAGATGTATCAGAAAATGCAGTCCCCTCACGCCAAGGTAAGGGCACATGTTCTGCCTTGACCCAGAGTGCATCGTTAGCCTGTTGACCCCCATTATCCAGGGCTGCCCTTGGGAAGCTGGAGGGTTCCCCAGGCTCACCTTGGTTCTGGAAGCCCAGGGTCGCTTAGCTGGGTAGGGGCCGTGCTTCAGCTCCCACCTTGGCTCATGCTTTCAGCCAGTTTCCTCTGGCCTGCTCCCTGGAGGTGAGGTTGGTGCCCTGGTTCCAGAGCCACCCTCGTCAGGCTCTCCAGAGAGGGGGGCTGCCAAAGTTGGGCCCAGTCTGTCAGGCTTGGGATCCCTGGGCGGCTGCAGAGAAACAGAGCTGGATGTTGTCCAGATGGGAAATCCCAGGCCGTTGGGGATGGAGGGGGCTCCCGCCCCAGGGACGATTCCAGCTTTGGTCAGTGGCCGAGGGCTCTGGCACAGGGGCTCTTCACATCCTCTGCGAGGCAGGGAGAGGCGCTAGATGGTAACGTCAGTCAGCTGCGCAGGAGCAGACTGCCGCATTTATGGGCTCCTGAACCCGCCTCCTACAGCTCTCCTCTTTCTTGATGGGCTGAGACCTCGGAGGAGGGTTTGGGGAAGCCCAGGATGAGCCTGGGAGCTGACCCTCACGGCCCCTCGGTTGCTTGGCAGGCCCTTCCAGTGCTGAGATTCTGGGGCTCAGCTGGCTGGGGCACACGGCCGTTCTTTTGTTCCCCCCACCCCCCAGATTCCAGGAGGGGGTGCCTTCCAGCCCCTCACCACGGGCGCATGGGAATGAGCATGACCTCTTCTCTCTCCCTGCATGTGGCTTGGCCTTGCAAAAGTGTCAGGACTGTGGATTGCTTTAAATCTGTCTTCTGTCTGCTCGTTCTGTCTAGAGTGCCTCTCTAGAGGGCGGGTGTTTCCTTGCTGGATGCACTAGCATAGGTAGGCAGCCTAGAAGTGGTTCTAGGGGGCTGGAGGGACGAGGAAAGACTTTGGGGCTCCCTGTTTGGGGGTGTGGTTACGCTGGGGGGACTTCCCTCTCACCATATTTGCTAGTCCTCCATCCATGGGCCAGGTCAGAAGCCCTTGGTAGCTAAGAGACTTTGCACAAGTAGGCCTCTCTAAGCCTCAGTTTCCCCATCAGTGAGATGGGGCCATGGATCCCTCCCTGCTGTGTCACTGAAGGCCCACGGCCTCTCCACAAGCACATCAGGGGTGTGCAAACCCTACTGAGTCCTGATAAGGGGGCAGGGCTCCTAGCATGGGCTGTTGACAATCTGTGTTATCTGGGATCCAAGAGCCACCTCATGGCCAATGGGCCATGAGCTGCCCTGGAGGAGTGGTGGGCATCTTGAAAGTGCTGCCATCCCCCTGCCCGCTGTCCCTGTTGGACTGCCCTCCAACCCCACAGCGGCTGGGTCCTCGCCTTTTTGTCCTGACTGCCCGAGTGCTCTTTGCACCTTGGATGCTGCTGACCCCGGGCCGCCATAAGTGAGGATGACTGCGAGGCAGACAGCCCCCAGCACCACCCCCACCCCTTAACTACCAGTTAGCAAGTACCAGCATCGTTCTGCGTGGGCACCCTTTAAAATAAGGGGCCTAGGCCGTATCTTCCCTCCCAGTTCCAAGAGCCTGAGGCCCCAAGAGCTCGTGACTTGTCCCGAGTGATCCAGTTTGTAGGTTGGTGGTTTTGGCTCTGCCCCAGGATTCCCCCACCCCCTGGAGGCCTGTTCCCACCATCGCTCTAGAGTAAACGTTCAGGGAGGTGCCGACACTGAGCACTTGGTGCTGGGCTCGGGACGTAAGAACCATGGGGGTCCAGGGAGGAGCACGGAGGGCAGGTGAGCTGCTCTGGAGTGAGCTGTCTTCTGCTGGGAGGGAGGGAGCTCCCTGGAGCAGAGCCCGGACATGATGAGTGCCTGGGCTTGGGCCAGACGGCCTTTCGCCCTTCCTACTCGCATCCTGGGGAAGACAAGCCCCCGACTTGCATAGAGCACGGTCAGATCGTCTATGCCCGGCCTGTAGCCCTTGCAAGCCTTGCGTCCAGCACAGAGATGCCCTGCGGGTGGCCAGGGCTGAGGCCAGTGCTTGGGCTCCCTTGGCTCTCTCTGATGAATTTTGGGTTCTCGTTTCCCTTTTCCTACCCTGCTGTGGCTCACCCTCTTAACTCCTTCCTGCCGTACTAACGGATCTGCTTTGTGAGGGTGGCGGTTAGCTTTGCCGCTAGGACCTTGCCAGAGTCAGGCCTGGCTGGGACACTGCAGCTGTGAGGGCAGTCTGCCCAGAGCTCCCCCAGAATGCTCTCCATGGCGCCCGTGTGTTGGCCTGGCCAGAAAAGCGTCAAGCTGCATTTGCCCTTTGCCCAGATTCTCGTGGGAACTTCACCCAGTAGACTCTCATTTATCCAGAACAGTTGGGTCCGGTTGACTGAGACCAACCGTGTACTAAACTGTAGGGCAGGAGATTTGGGGTCTAGGCCCAGCAACTCACCAAACCTCTCTGAACCTCCGTCTTCTTCCTGGAAGAAAACCCTCCTATGAGAGCTCATGTTCTAACTAGGCAGAGCGATAAATATTGATTAACGTGGTGACCCTAGCGCAAGTCTTGATCTTCCAGTTGATAGGAGAGGAAACTGAGGCCCAGAAGAAGGTGCCCATCCACAGGCCCACAGAGCCAGGCGGCCAGGACTCCTCTTCCCATGGCCCCCATGAGCCCCGAGACCTTCTCACCTCCAGGTCTCCTGTCATCCTGTTCCCTGAAAGCGAGATACAGTGACATCTCCAGGTGTTGCTCAGGGCCTCCCTAGTGCCATTGGTGCTGTGCAGAGCCCTGTGGGGTGGAGAGGGCTTTCTAAAGAAGCCCCACCCCCGCTTGTCTGCTGCTTGGCCTTCTGGCTAAATGAGAGTCTAGTGGCCCACCTGCCCTACCCAGCCGTTGTTATCCTGGCCAGGCCACACCCTGAGGGGATGCTTACTAAGGGAGCCTAAGAAGAGGAAGCCTCATGCCCCCAGGACCCAGTTTTAAGGCAGCCTCAGCTCTGCAGCCAGCCCTCCCAAAGCCCTGAGAGTGTCCCCCCGCCCCCCCCCCCCCCACCCCATCCCAGTGGAGGCCGGGGCTGCCTTGGCGGTCAGAGCGGGGCTCACAGCCCGGCCGGTCAGACTGTGACCCAGGCAGACTCCGCGTGGGGCCCCAGGCTGGCAAGGGCGAGGGGCGAGGGACTCCCGGGGCAGGCCCAGGTAGGTGGGCAGAGAGGCAGCAGCAAGCGGAGGGGCCTCTTGTTGGAGTGAGGGTCTGTGGCTGCAGTGTTCGACTGGATTGGCACTGACTGGATTTGTTTTTGTTTTTTGTTGCCTTTTTCCTTTTCTTGAGCTTATTCTTACTTTTTCTCTTTCCCCTCTTCCACCTCTCCCTTTTCCTTAACCTCATCTTCTTCCCCCATCCCTGTTTGTCTCTACCCTCGTTCCTTCCTCTCCCTTCCTGGTTCTCCTTCTTTGCTCTCTTTCTTGCCTCTCCGTCTTCCTCTCCTTTCCCTCTCCTCCCCGCCTTTTGCTTCCCTCCTCTCCTCTCCTCTCCTCCTCTCTCCTCTCCTCCCCTCCTCCGGCCCCCTGTCCCTCTCCCCTCCGTTTTCCCTTGTTGTTTTTGTTGTCTCTCAGCTGGAGGTTCTCCACTACCGACTCAGTCTCTCCAGTAGCCTCCACAGTTCTCCTGCCCAACCCAGCTACCAGGCCCTCCACGCGTACCAAGTACAACATCTTTTTGTTTGGTTTCCTTTTTTATTCTTGCTGGCAATCTACAGAGAGTGTGTGTGTGAGCATGGACTGCAGAGGAAGACCCCTGGGGGAGCTGGGGACTGGTTTCCAGGGGGTTTAAGAAGGCCCATCAGAGCAGATCAGAACTCAGCGCTGGGCGGGCACAGAGCTTTGCTAGAGCCTAGAGTAGGGACTTGTGTGTGAGTGTGTGCATGTGTGTGCATGTGCATATGACACGCTGTGATCACCTCTTCCTATGGTGTGTTCAACCATGCTCCTTTCAGTCAGTCCTGCATGGGAGAGAAGGGAGGGTCTTTGCCCAGGGAGGGCTGCAGGCCTCCCTGCCTTGGGCTGGGGCTGGGCCCAGGCCACGTGGCAGGGCTTCTAAAGAGTCCTGGGAGGGAGGAGGAAGGAGAGGGGCAGGGGTGACCTTCCCGTCAGCACAGGCCTCGGGTCTTAGCTCAGAGACTGGTCTTGGGTGATGTTGGTTCATTTTCAAAGACATTCATTCTGTCTGCTCCGATGAGGAGGAGGATCCCGCCATTTCTGTAGCGCTCCAGGGTTTCACACGAGCCTTTCTGTACATTGTCTCCTTTGGGCTCTCAGCAGCCTGGCACACCTGTCCCTTTTTACACAGCAAAGAGTGGAGGCTCCCAGAGGGGTTGTCCAAATCGCCAGTGCAGCGGGCGTCGGTTGGAGGCGCGGCAGGCCTGGGAGGCCCCCTGCTGCAGAGCTCAGACCTGCTGCTGGCTGGCCCACCACGCTCCCCTCCCCGGGGCAGCCCCAGTCAGAGTCAGGTGTGATCGGGCAATATTTAGCAAAGAAAATGACAGCAGAGCACAGGCAGCGTTGACATGGTTTTCTCGGTCAGGGTGTGGCTCTGCAGGGTTTGGTGGCCCTTTTGGAAAATTGGGAACTCAGAAAGAGAAAATGATTTCTCCTGGCAAAATCAGCCAGCTGGTGACAGGTGTAGGGTCAAAGTCCTCTCGGGCTGGGGTTTCTGTGGTCACCCCTGCTCCCCTCCTCAGTCCAGCCGTCCAGGAAGGCGCTGTCAGTAGACAGGTAACTCCTCAGAGAGGAAGCACCCTCCTCTTGCTTCTCTTAGCCGTTGAGAGCAGAGGGAAGAATGCCCTTCATTTCTATGCAGGTTTGTTTCTCTTCTGTTACGAGTAGCAGCCTGTGTGGGCTGTGGAGAGGCAGACGTGGAACACGACACGGCCCCCATCCTTGGGATGAGGGAAGAGACTGGGAGGGCAGGCTGCGGGGAGTCCGCCCTGCATGTGCCCTCAAGGAGCACATTACATTCTGGAAGCAGGGCTGGGGCGAGAGATGGAGGAGGCCAGTCTGGCCAGACCTCAGGTGTGTGGAGGCGAGCAATGGGTAATGCTGTTGGGAGAGCTGGACTCGCTTCTGTATTTGCTCTTGGAGGTTGGAGGGAGCCCCTGCATTGGATTGAGCCAGGCAGGGACGTGATCAGGCCTGTACATTCAGAGTAGCGCTTTGGAGGTAGGGGTGGGGGTGGGGGTGGCGATGGCGATGGGTAAGGATTGGAGAGGGGAAGGCGTTGAGGCTGGAACCCGTTATGAGGAGGGTGCAGTCATAGAGTAGTAATGGTGGGTGAAAGTCTGAGCCAGGCCTGTTTGTGTGTTGAGTCTGAGGTGCCTGCGGAATCTCCTGTAGGAGCTGTCTGTCTGGCAGTTGGTAACGTGGGACTGAAAGCCCAAGAGGCAGTAGGAGTCATCTGCGTGAAAGTGATCACAGCGACCATCGAATCCATGGGATTCACCCGAGAGAGGGTCTGGGTTAGGGCCGGGCCACGAGGGTGGAACCCAGAACAGGAGACTGAGGAGGCCTCAGCCAGAGAGCTGAGGGAGCACGCGGGTGGAGGAGGAGGGTGGGCAGGGTCCGAAGGTGCCGAGAACCTGGAAAAGGCCACTGGGTGGAGCACGTGGGAGGCCTTTAGCAGGGTCAGGAGTCAGATCACAGAGGGTTGGGCAGTGGAAGGGGTTGCCGCTCTTTTTTGGCGAAATTATCGGATACGGGCTTTGGGGGCACTTAGGAAAGAGCCAGGATCCATCGGAGCTAACTTAGATTGCCGGGCAAGTCCCAGCCAGCTACATGCACTTCCTTTATTAGGACAAGGAGATTCCCCAAAGTTAGAGTCTGAGGGTGTGGGTTCAGATCCCTGCCCCGTGGGACCACAGGCAGATCGCTTCACCTTGTGGGCTGAGGTGACCTCACCTACCCTTCCAGCTCCTCATCTGTGACCTGTGGCACAAGATGGAAAGAAGCCGATAGGGCAGTCGCCCCCTTCCCCCGCGGCTTCATACTTGGTGGCAGCCTTGGATTACACTGGAGGGAGAGATGTTAGACAGAGCAGAGGAGCTCTTTGCCTTCTTGGGTGTCCTGGGCAGCCTAGGACCCTTTCTCAGGGTAATCATGGTTTTGAACACATACAGTAAAATCCATAGAATTGAAAAGGAAACCAGTGCCATTGAGATTCAGTGATCAGAGCGTTAAAAGATCCCAGAGGTTCAGAGCCCCTGCGGCATCTTACCCAGCTCTTTTTAGTCGGCATTTTTTATCACCTCTCGTTTGGGCCAGGCCTGGGGTGGAGCTGGAACCGCTGGTTAATAAGCATTTATTAGGCTCTCCATTAGGGCCTCTTGCTGACATTGGGTGAGTCTGTCCTCGTATTTTTTTTTTTTGGTTAGGTAATTGGGGTTAAGTGACTTGCCCAGGGTCACACAGCTAGTAAGTGTCAAGTATTTGGTCTGAGGCCGGATTTGAACTTAGGTCCTCCTGACTTCAGGGCCGGTGCTCTATCCACTGCACTACCTCATTGCCCCTGTCCTGCTCGTTTTAGCACCTTCATTTGGCAGCAAATGCCTCATTGATGACGGGAAGACTCAAGCACCCCCAGCTCTGACTTTGATGTCAAAAGAGCATTATCCTCAGGTCTGTTTTCTTGCCAGCCAGATGCATGGCAGTGGCAGACTAGGGCCTCAGTCCGTGTCCAGATCAAGGCAGGTCATTGCTGAGGCCTTAGTCTGTATCCAGATCAGAGCAGGCCAGTGCTGGGGCCTCAGTCTGTGTCCAGATCAGGGCAGGCCACTGCTGGGCAGCTACTCCAAGGTGGCTTTACCAGTTCCATCTTTTGTCTAGGAAGAGATTCACTTGTGGCCTGTGTGGGAGATGCGCTGTCTTTTTGCGGGCACCTGGATAGGGACTGGGGAGGAGAGCATGTGTCAGCCACTTCTGAGCACAGATCCATCTTTGGAAACCTTGAGTGCTATAACTTGTTGGGAGAGATGAGCATGGATTGAATGTTCTAGAATTTACTCCAGCTTCGCCAAAAAGAGGGACGGGGAAGCTACGGGCCTTGATAACAGTGCTTTGGGGCCATCGCCACTTCTGTCTTTGAGGTGGACTGTTAGGGGGAAAGGGGGAAACCTTTGCTGCTTTAGGGGTGAATGCAAAGAGCTGCGGAGACAAAGAACAATTATGGAATTCGTGCCTATTTCTGGCAAGCGACCAGACAGTGGCCTTGGATTATTTGCTTATTTGAAGAATCTAAGGCTAATCTTTGGGATTCTTCATGTGAAGTACATGATATAAAAATCCTGACAAGGCCTTCTTCTCTGTTGGTAGTGCAGCTATGTACAAATATGGGTCTGTGTGTGTAAGAAAAAGGGGATAGAGCGTTGGCAGCCCTGATTTTGCTGGATCTACCACAAGGCCTCCAATGGCCTGGGGAAATGGTCCCCGCTCTCAGGTAGCTTTATTCCACTCAGGGGACGATGTGGATGTATGTGAGGTCATGTACACAAAACCTAACCAAGGGAGAATATTCCTTTCCTTGGCCCCTGCCTGGAGAGGCAGGGGGCCGACCAGGAAGGTTCCTCATAGAAGGGGCTTGCAGACTGAGTGTTGAAGGACTGCGGGCATTCCCAGAGCTGGGGGTGAGGAGAGGTTGTACTCCAGGCAGGAAGGACAGAGTCCTGGTGATGGGAACTGGACTGTCTAGGGTTGGGGAGAGCCAGGGAACTGCGTGTGCTGATTACATAGGGGATAGGAGATGATGTTATGTTGCTCACTTTGCACATCCTTAATGGATATAGAAACTAGTGCTTTTATTTTTCATCAAAAAGTTATGGAGTGTAAAACCTGTTAACAAGATACAGTTTCAGTAGGATATGTGGTGAGCATGGTGCTTAAATTCCAAAAATCTGTTGTGTGAAAGAGGGAGGATGGAGGGAGCCGTGTGTACAAAGTAAGCAGTTCATATGAAAAAGCCTGGTGGTTTTATTTAGCCAAGGCTCTACCAGCATCAGTAGTAATGAGAATACTAATTATAATTATAATGACAATGATGTGATAATGATAATACCGCCTGGCACTTCTCTAGCAGGCTGCTGGTTGCAGGGCCCTTTCCCATTCCTTGTTTCACTTGAGCCTCATAGCAGCTCTGTGGCCTGGGCAAGGCAAGGAGAGATCATTATAATTTACAGCTGGGGTTGTGGTGCTAGAGTCAAGTTACAGTGCTTCTGATATGGATGATCAGACCCATATGAGCTGGGAATGTTCTACCCCAGATCGGGCACAAATAGTCCACGGGAATATTTGGGGTGGATTCTTTAAATTTGTGTATCTTGCATTTCTTTTGAGCTCCTTCACTTATGCTCTGCTCAGAGCACAGCACCTTCCCTGATGAGGGCACGCCATGCTGGGCGGTCCTGTGCCAGTGTCTACCATGTTATGGTTACAAAGTTCTTCAGAGACCTTTGACAGTGTCCTCGTATCGCTTCTTTTGACCACCAAGTTAGTGCTCCCCTTGTGTGAATTCTCTGCAAAATAGTCTTTTTCGCAAGCACACATTTGGCATCCGAACAACGTGGCCAGCCCATCGGAGTTGTGCTCTCTGAAGCAGAGTCTGAATGCTTGACAGTTTAGTTTGAGAAGGGACCTCAGTGTCTGGTATCTCATCCTGCCAG